TATAAATATTAACAAATATATTTCACACAAAAAATGACTAATGATAAAAATTATATGAATATTAACAAATATATTTCACACAAAAAAATGGCTAATGATAAAAAATTATATAAATATTAACAAATATATTTCACACAAAAAATGACTAATGATAAAAATTATATGAATATTAACAAATATATTTCACACAAAAAAATGGCTAATGATAAAAAATTATATAAATATTAACAAATATATTTCACACAAAAAATGGCTAATGATAAAAAATATATAAATATTAACAAATATATTTCACACAAAAAAATGGCTAATGATAAAAAATTATATAAATATTAACATATATTTCACACAAAAAAATGGCTAATGATAAAAAATTATATAAATATTAACAAATATATTTCACACACAAAAAATGACTAATGATAAAAATTATATAAATATTAACAAATATATTTCACACACAAAAATGGCTAATGATAAAAAAATTACATAAATATTAACAAATATATTTCACACACAAAAAAATGGCTAATGATAAAAATTATATAAATATTAACAAATATATTTCACACAAAAAATGGCTAATGATAAAAAATTATTTAAATAGATCATGAAATGATTTTTGTGTGGTTAACTGAGCTAGGACTAGGATGGTAAAATCGATATGTTTTATAACAAGCTTATTTTTATTCTTACTGATCAAAAAACTGTGTCCATAGAAAATAAATTCAAATAAAAAACGAGCTTCAACTAATTTTAAGAAACTATATTTCAAAGAAGTATTTCTAACAAAAAAACAACATTTTACTCAGTTACTTTTATATATATGTTTACCACTGATAGTGATACAGAAGTTCCGTATGGGACAAGGACTGACATTTTAATTTTTTTTTAGTGCGGGCAAAATATTTAAAGCCCAAACTTCCTTTCTTTTAGACGCTTTTTTGAAATAAAAACTTGTGAGTTATTTTAAAAACAGGTAGAATGTAGTCTAACGTAAGAATTAAATTAACGTTAATTATAGCTTAGGTTAGACTAATGATAGAGAAGATAACAATATAACAAAAACAGCTTGGGTAATGAGCAGGTTTAAGTTATATTATCGAGAAGAGAAGACAGTTAGATTAATGATGGAGAAGACAATAACCCAGTAAACAGTTTAATTACACTTAGATAAATGATGGAGAAGACAATAACCCAGTAAACAGTTTGAGTAGAGTTAGATAAGTGATGGAGAAGACAATAACATAGTAAACAGTTTGAGTAGAGTTAGATTAGTGATGGAGAAGATAACAATATAACAAAAACAGCTTGGGTAATGAGCAGGTTTAAGTTATATTATCGAGAAGAGAGGATAGTTAGATTAATGATGAGAAGACAATAACCCAGTAAACAGTTTAATTACACTTAGATAAATGATGGAGAAGACAATAACCCAGTAAACAGTTTGAGTAGAGTTAGATAAGTGATAGAGAAGACAATAACCCAGTAGACAGTTTAAGTAGAGTTATATAAGTGATGGAGAAGACAATAACATAGTAAACAGTTTGAGTAGACTTAGATAAATGATGGACAAGACAATAACCCATTAACAGTTTAAGTAGAGTTATATAAGTGATGGAGAAGACAATAGCCCAGTAAACAGTTTAAGTAGAGTTATATAAGTGATGGAGAAGACAATAACCCAGTAAACAGTTTAATATTATGTCCACCGACCTTGCAAAGTTGGTTTTCAGTTTGTTTTACAATGTTTGTGTCATATAGAGTTATTGTTGAGTTTTAATGTTGATCTAATTAGTTAAGGTTCAATGACGTAACTAATTAATATATATATATATAAATACACAGATACACATAACCAAATATATATATATATATATATATATATATATATAAGAAATAGCTTCAAAACTATTATCATATTAATTACATTAGTTGTTTATAAACCAGCACTGTAAAACAATAATGAACTTAATATAAGTTAAGCCTTAAAATTGTCCATTGTAACCTTAACGGATATTACAATTATAATTCGAGAATGTATGAACACAAAGATGGCGATTCCACAAGAAGAATAAAAAGCCTAAAAACTACTGGCTGTGTAGATCACAGATTAATTCACCGTTAGTTCATGACTTTAAATACAACAGAACTTGCCGGAATACTTAGGTCCGGAACGACGTAGTTACTGTATTGTTGTACCACACACTCGGCTCTAGCTTGGAAACGATTAAGACTGTCGTTATGCCACCAGGATTGTAGATTTCCATTAGGATCGAACTGTCTACCTAAAAAGTTATCAACACTTTGTTTGTACGATAATCTAAGGTTCTACGTTTTGAAATAAAATAAAAGATTTAAGTAATGTAACTTGTAACAGTTTATTCAAGTTTTTTTGTCCACATATTCAAGAATCGATATTATTTTATTTTCATAACTTAAAAAATGTGGTACGATCATCTTCTGGTTGTCTTAGCTTAATGGCAAGAGATTCCAGCCTTCTTCCCAGAAACTGGAGTTAGGCACATCATCGCATTTGTTTATACAATAATATTAATAATACTATTGATGTTGTAGGTTTTAGTGTCACAGTTCGATGACG